TGCTGATCCTTATTATTTCTTTCCTTCTGCCAGCCTTGGGCATAGTTCGTTCTCCTTTTTCTAGTTCCTTGAGGTGTAAAGTTACTTTTGTTGTTTATTTGAAATCTTTCTAATTTCTTAATATATATGTTTATTGCTATAAACTTTCCTCTCTGAACTGCTTTTGCTGCATCCCACAATATTTGATGTATTGTGTTTTCATTTGTTTTGAGATAATTTTTTATGTTCTTTTTGATTTCTTCTTGACCCAATAGTTGTTTAGAAGTGTGTTGTTTAGTTTCCACATATTCACAGATCTTCTCATTTTCCTCTTGTTGATTTCTAATTTCATACCATTGTGGTCAGAGAAGATAGTTGGTATGATTTCAGTCTTCTGAAATATTTTGGAATCTCAGTCTCTTTGGTAAAGTACTCCTTCTGTTCGTTAATTTTATTCCTGAAATCATTGTATTACCTTTCTGAATTTTCTTATAGCTCGTTGAATTTCTTCATAACAACTATTTTAAATTCTTTACAAGTCATGTTACAATATTCTAGGCTTTGGTTTCTGTTGCCTGGAAAATTGTCATTTTCTTTTCGTGATAATGTATTACTGTGATTTTTCATGGTGTTTAATGAAAAGTGTGTCTGCTATCACATTTGATGTAGGCAAAGCTTTGTTTACTTTGATTCTAACAGTTCTAGAAGTTTGTAGTTAGGAACTTTGCTTTTGTTTTCCAGAAGGTGGTGTTATAGCACAAGTTTTTGGTTTCTCTTACTGGGGCTGACTCACCGCTAACGTTGGGACTGCACGCATAAAAAACAAGTAAAGGGTGACAGCAGAGTTGGGGGAGGTGTGTACCTAGCACTTGGAGCTTTGGGTGTGCCCATGGCCCAGTAAGAGGGTCCTCAAATAGGGCAGTCCCAGAGGTCTGTGAGTCCACTTACCTCCCGGGGCAGACAGCAGGAGACACTTTGCTTCAGTTCTCTTTGTCTGCCTACCTCCCTTTCCTTTCCCTCCCTCCAATCACTGTGGTCTCTTCTCAGAGACAGCAGCTGTTCCCTTCAGCTGCAGCATGTATGGCCAGGCAGACCCCACTCACTGCCTTCACCCTCCCCCTCCTCTGCCAGAAAAGTTGTGCTGGCTCACTGCCAAACTGCCACCTTCTCTGCCATCACTACCTCTGCTGCTGCTGGCTCCACTGCCACTTCTCTCGCTCTGCTGCCTCTTCTGCAGTCCAATCTACCCATTTTTGGGTGCACAGCTGGATGGATCTCTTGAATGTCCTGGTATGCTGTGCAGAGGTGCTTTTTTTTTTTTTTTTTTTTTGGTTATGGATGTTTGATTAGTTGTAAACCAAAGGAGAAAGAAAAAAGGAATGACTTGTGTTGCCATGATGCTGATGTGTAGTCCCAGTAGTGGTTTATATATGTGTGTAGCTTCAGAATTAGTTGATGAAAGTTGTAAATTATGCTATTCCCACATTGAGATAGCTCTTTGGTTTCACTGTCTAGATAATTCAGTATGATAGGAATCAGGAGAGTCTTGGGAGTTATTAGGGAATTTCAGAAAAAGCTTTAACATCTGGGCTTCTAGTGCGAAAAATAGGACATAGAGAACTGAGTTGAACACGTACTGTGTGTGAGACATTGTGCTATGTGTAAGGGATAAACTGTGAATAATAAGCCACAGTTTGGTGGGACTATGTATTTCAGGATGGAGTGGAGGATATGGTACAGTGAGAATTGAGAAGAAACTAGGGAATGGAAACAGTAATAGTCAAAGAGAGGAAAGAAGAAGAAGAAAAGAGAGGGTTGGAAGAAAAAAGGTCGATGTCTCTTCTACTAGAATGTAAGTTTCCTGAAGCCAGCTTATTTATCGTTGTATCCGTAGGGTCTAGCAGAGTGCCTGACACAAGGAATGTGCTTAGTAAACACTTGATTAAATGAGTGAATGAAGAATTGAGAAGAGAGGTGAATGGAAAGTTAAGCAGGAATAGAAGAAGGAAATAAGTGAAAGGTATAGAAGAGAGAAGTAACAGAACAGAGGAGAGAAGAAAGTGGTAAAGAGAGGGAAAGTGCTTTCCACCAAATTCGGCTTTGATGTAACATGGCCAAGGCAGTGGTGAGAAGCTAGTCTTTACTGTTACCTCTAGACTGGGGTGACGGAAGGTGGTTGGGACGGTTCTGAGGTCCTGTGTTCCAGATTTTCATGACAATTAAATGAGATTGTAAATAAGGCAGAGTTTTATAAGCAGCAAAGCATTATGTGTGAGTGTTATTTACTTATTTATTTATAATTGTTTAATAAGTAATTTGAAACCAGAAGTTGAAATGTAGCTTTCTTGAGAATGACCTCTAATTTTAATATATAGTAATGTTTTCTTTATCTAGTATTCAGGATGTGAACTATTCCATGTAATTGAATCTTCCAGATAACTGAAGCTCATATTATTATCAAATTCAAAAACATCAATTTTACTAGATTTGATGTAAATCTCTTATTAATAAATATATGTATATTCTGAAAGAAAGATATTGATCTTAACTTAAGCTTTCTCTTATAATTCTGGATCATTATTATAAACATCATTGATTATGTTTTGCTGTAACATAGTAGTGCCCTCAGAAACCTTGTGAGATTTATTTTGTTGCTTAACCCTAAACAAAGATGAAATAGTCTGGATTGCTATATTTCAAGTTCTTTTGATTATGTCACCTAGTTTTTCTGCCTCTTTCATCTCTATTACCTATTATTTAATAATTAAAAAATTAAATTAATTCTTGTTATAAGAGATTCAAATAATGTAGATAAATATAGAGTAAAATACGATAGGGTTGTTTGGCCTTAAATCACCCCTATTCCAATCCCACACCCCTCAGAGTGTTGATGAAAGCTTGGTTTGTAGTAATCTGGTTCTTCTCCTGTGCATTCACATACAAACACATACATAAATATATACGTATTATATTAGTCTACTCTGGCTGCCATAACAAAATACCATATACTGGTGGATTAAACCAGTATAATTTATTTCTCACAGTTCTGGAGGTTAGAAGTTCTAGGTCAAGGTGCTGGCCAGTTCAGTTCCTGGTGAGACTCTCTTACTGGCTTGTAGACTGCTGACTTCTTCTTATGTACTCACATGACCTCTTTGTATGTGCTTGGGGAGAGAGAGAGAGCGCATGAGTATCTCAGTAAACTCTCTCTGGTATCTTTTCTTATAAGGGCACTAATCTCATCTAATCCTAATTATCTCCCAGAGGCCCCATCTCCAAATACCATCACATTGGGGATTAGGGCTTCAACATATGAATTTTGAGGGGATATAGTTCAGTCCATGGCACATATATACATACATACATTTATTTTAATATAAATGAAACCATATATATTCTTTTGCATCATACTTTTTAATTAAAAAAGAATGTCTTAGAAGAATCTTATATGTGTGCATCTCATTTTTTTAGTGATTGTATGCTATTCTGTATCTTAAATGGATTAAAATTTATCCGGCCTTTCCCCTGTTGATGGACATTTACATGTTTTCTATTTTTTATTTTATAAACAATCTTGCCACAAACATCTTCTTAGGGACAAATTTTGTGTGCATTGTAAAGTATTTTGGTAAAACAGATTTTTAGATGATCAAAGAATATTCTAATTTGAAGTTTGAGAGACAATTCCAAGTTGACCTCTGAAAAATTTATGACAATTGTATGTGTATGTTTCTATTTTTTTTTTAATAGTATTGAGAATACTGGATATTTTCACTCTTTTTTATACTTGTCAGTTTTAGCAGGTGAAAAATAACTTAGTGTTTATTTAAGTTGCTGACATTTAATTGAGTCAGGTTGTAAATATTTCCATGTGCTTATTGATCATTTGAATTTTTTCTTGATGAACTTCCAATTGTGTTCTTTGTCCATTTTCATATTAGGCTGTCTTTTTTCTATGAGTTTTTCTGCATTAAAAATCCTTTTACTTGTAATTTGCACTGTGAATATTTCTTCATAATTTGTCTTTTGCTTTTGACTTTATCGTCTCTCTAACTTTAAATATATTTAAATTTTCATAGACTTGGAGTATTTAATATTTTCTTTTGTGTATTTTGGGTTTCATGTCTTGCTTGATAAGGCTGAAGATAAAAATTTTAGTGTGATATGATTGCTATGTGTGTTTTTGTGGTAGAAATATTTCTATTCAGGGCCAAATGCATTTTATGCAACCATAAATTATCCGGTCTATGAGTACATATTAATTTTGTGTATTTAATTATCTTCAAATCTATATAGAAAATACCCCTAAAGCATTATTATAATATGTGAAAATAGAAATAGCTTACTATCAATTTAACTTGCCATACAACTAAGCCTCACTTTCTTTTCTTTAAAATAAGGGTAATAGTATCTATCTTATGGGTTGTTGAGAGAATTAAATGAGATACAATGTGCAAATAATATTAGATACCATTTACTCCATATCTACTAAATACTAGTCATTATATATACATTAGTTCATTTGACCCTCAAAACAATGCTTTGAAGCAGGTATTACGGTACCCAGATTACAAATGAGAAAATAGATTCAATGAGCTTAAGTAACTTGCCTGAAATCCCAGATAAAAAGTGGGAAAGCCAGAATGTAAATACATGTTTGTCTGAAAACAAAAACCATGGTGTATTCACTATACACTCTTCCTGGGATATGACAGGTATTTATTTACTTCAGTCCTTTCCTCCTCTTTTTTCTGTTTCTGTTTCTTTTTTTCCTATTTGATGAATAAGACTCTCTAGAACAGCACTGCCCAACTGTACTTACTGTGATTATTGAAATGTTACTTTCTTTTCTGCACTGTCCAATAAAGTAGCCACATGTGTCTGTCCAGCACTTGAAATGTGGTTAATACAACCAAGGAACTGAAATTTTAGCTACTGTTTTGGACATTGCAACCCTTGTGTGTGTGTAAACTAAGTATAATTAACATATTGGTTGATAATGAGGAAACTGTTCATTCCAGGTTGAAAACTTTAGCAGAGGAACTCATGCAGACGCAGCAGATGCTTTTAAATAAGGAGGAGGCTGTCCTGGAACTAGAGAAAAGAATTGAGGAATCTTCTAAGACCTATGAAAAGAAGTCTGAGTGAGTAAAACAAAAATAATTTGAAGAAAGAAAGTGTAATTGATGTTGTTTTACAGAAATACTTCAGGTACATGGTGTCATGGCTGTAAAATTTCTAGAACCTGAAATTTCATTTTAAGTATAAAACTTTGCATAGTTGAGTTACTTTACAGGCCTCTAGAAAAGTGACTTTGTGTTTTTGTCTATATAGTGTACTGATCCTATGTCTCCATGTTTTAACAGTTTGAACTATTTTCCAACAAATTCTGTTAAAAGCTGTCTTGACTTCTCCTCATTAATGTCCACCAGATTCACTGTGAATTCCTTGTTAAGAAAGTGGCAGGCTGGTATTTTCTAGAAATTGGCTTCTACTGTGTTAGAAGGAAGCAAGCAAACTTAGAAAATAGCAGTCGGTTTCACTTATAAAAATCCTTCTGAGATTTGCTGTGGTGTTGTTATCTTACTATTGTTTTTCTTGCTGATTTCTGGATCTGTAAATATTTACCTGAATCTTCTGACTTTACTTATCTTGGCATACTTTTGTTTTTACTAATTTCATTAATTATGTTTTCTACTGTTTTAAGATTTAAATTTTGATCGAAAATTTAAAATTACTAATCTGACTTTGATCATTGTTTGCATCTCAACAGGGTTACACTCCAGCAATGTGGTTTCTCTAATCCTGGCTAGACCATATAAATTTCACATTCTCACATACTCTCACAACTGGCTTGATTTATCAAGACTTTCAAGGAAACTGTGATGTGTAGCTTTTCTCTGGCCTATACTTACTCTTACTTTCTACACAACTTTTCAGATATTCTCCACTTCTATCATAGGAGATGGACCTCTCCTACATTATAGAAAAAATTAGAACCATCAGTTGGCAGCTCCGTTTTTTTCTGGGAGTAGATATCCAAATCCACTACATTTGTACCCATTCTCTTTCCTTACTTCCATAGAGAAACTGTTCCTTGTCCTAAGTCTGTTTCTTGTGCCTGTTTTTTGTATCCCATCATCTCTTACTTTCCCAGAAATTTTACGTTATTTTATATACAGATCTTCCTTGACTTATGATGGGGTTATGAACTGATAAGTCCATCGTAAGTTGATAATATCCTAAGTCGAAAATGCATTTAATACACCTGACCTACTGAACATCATAGGTTAGCCTAGCTTACCTTAAACTTACTCAGAACATTTACATTAGCCTACAGTTGGGCAAAATCATCTAACACAAAGCCTATTTTATAATAAAGCGTTGAATATCTCATGCAATTTATTGAATACTGTACTGAAAGTGAAAAACAGAATGGTTGTGTGGGTACAGATAGTTATCAGTGTTTCTATTGTTTACCCTCATGATCATGTGACTGGGACCTGTGGCTGGCTGCTGCTGCCCAGCATCATGAGAGAGTATCATACCACATATTGCTAGCCTGGGGAAAGATAAAAAATCAAATTCGAAGTACGAGTTCTATTGAATGAGTTTCACTTTTGCCCTGTTGTAAAGTTGAAAAATTGTTAAGTCAGGGACCGTCTGTATTATGTTCACCTTTTCTTCTCAACTGGATCCTGTGTTCACTTTTTAAATATGCTTAAGTTTTGACTCCTAAAAACTATCTCCATCTCTCTGCCCACCCCAGATAACCCTTTTTTAATCTCCATATTTTCTCCCAACTACTGTCTTTGCTTTCTGTTTTCTTAGTCAAACTTGTTCTAAGAGTAATTATGCTCACTCACTTCCTTAACTCCCACTTAGTTCTCAACCCACATATGTCTGGCTTCTGCCCCATCACTATTGAAATAGATATCTGTAAGATCACCAGTGACCTCTACATTGCTAAATTTAGCAGCTCTCTTACTTGACCTCCTCATAGTATCTGACTTTGTAGATTTCATGTTCCTTCTTTCCTCAGGGCCTTTGGGATCCAAGATGCCCAGTCTTACTCTTCTCTGGCCTGTCCTTCTCTGTAAACTCATTCTCCTCTACTCAGCCAATCTATTTTGGAGTTACTCAAGGCATGGCCCTAGGTTATGTCACTTCCCTCCCTTGACTCTATCCCTAGGTGATCTCCTGAATCACCTGGAGTATGACCTACATTTATTACTCTGGCTCAGATTTCTCCTCTAAACTCTATGGCCATGTAAATCAATTGCCTACTTGACATTCCTCCTTAGATGTCTTAGAAGTACCCTGAATTTCCCATGTCTAAAGCTGAATTAAAAATCTCCTCAATACAACCTGACCCAACCCAACCCAACCCAGTTCACTTTTAGTATTCCTTATTTCAGTGAATGGCAATGCCATCTATCCTGTGTATACGACTCAGAATATTAGGATCCTACCTCTTCCACTTATACTGTGGCTCTTATTACAACTTGGTATTAAATATCATATTGGAATCAATGAGCCTTTTAAAGGTGAAATAGGAAAATTTGAGTTACTCTGGGCATTCCTTTAATAAATCTGGAAATTTTCAGTATTGCATCAACAGCAGATTCTATTTGGATTATAAAAATAAAATTCATCAACTGTTGTGAGTATAAAATTCAAAAAAATAATTATCTTTTGCTTTTTTCTGTTTGCGAATATATCTTTTCATATGTTTACAGATAACTGAGTTCTACTTTTTATAGTTTTGTAAATGCACACATTGCAAATGACTCCTCTTTTAAAATTTAGTGGATATAAAGAAAGATAGTAGGGTAGCTGACCCTCTCACCAGCATGTCTGACTATATTGTTGTTGGAGGAGGCAATCTTTAATGGTTATCTTAAAGTTATGGGATTCTTTGATTTTTTGGTATGTTTTCTTTGCTATGTTTTTAAAGACTTAAATCTTTGACTCTCTCTTCATCTACATAATGAGTGTGATCCACATTCCTCCACCCCTTTATATTTATCAGGAGAGGAGAATGTGAGTAGAGGAGAGGGGGCTTAAAGGGCAGTGGATATATGGGAAATAGCATTTCTTGAGTTCTTACTCTGTTCCCCACATTATGCTGGATGTTTTATATATATATATTAACACTCTGAATGATATCTTCACCATGTCTTCTGTATAATTGCCTATATTTACCTTTAGAACTTAGAGAATCTAGATAACTTACTTACAATCACATACCTAGTAAGTGGTAGAAAACACATGAGTTCTTGACTCCAAAGCTTCTGTCTTTTTGATCACAGAATTTGTTTGATCTTATGATTTTAATAGTGTTCTTAGTAGATTAAATTAGAAGGGATATATATTTCAAGCAATTCAGGGGATGAGTTTGGTTTAACCCAAGTTCTGCTAGCCCTTTGTTACCATAGAGTTTCTATTGTTAGCTTCAGGGCATAATCTTGAAAATATTAAGTATATTTATATAACTAAATAGTCATTGTGAATTCTCATTAATTTAGACATTAGTAGGGTTGAAGTTTGTCTTTGAATTATGTGTTAAAATATTTTGCTAAACAGTCTGAAAGGAATTCTGGGGAAATGTTTGCTTTTCTATTTCGTAATTGAAAATATTCTTTTTTTGTGTGCGTATGTGTATATATCTATATATATTATTAAATGCACTTAAATAATTAAAAGCAATTTTTACCTAGTTTAAAAAATAGATTTAGAATTATTTTTACTCTGCAACACTTTGTTAGCTTCATATACTGTGTTACTTGAAAGTAATAAAAACAATAAAACAAAACTACATTTCTTGACAAATACTACAAACATCCTATAAGTTAGATGTTTACGTTTTTAAATTATTTCTAAGTTAATGGAATTATATTGAATTTTTACTTAATAGAAATAGCATTATTGTCCTATCAAAATATAACATAATAAGGGACTAAAGTTAAAATCTTTGAGTTTGGATTTAACAGAAATGTCTTTAAAACATCTTTTTTTTAAAAATTTTATTTATTTATTTATTTTTCCCCAAAAGCCACAGTAGATAGTTGTATGTCGTAGTTGCACATCCTTCTAGTTGCTGTATGTGGGACACGGCCTCAGCATGGCCGGAGAAGCGGTGCGTCGGTGCGCACCTGGGATCCGAACCCGGGCCGCCCAGCAGCGGAGCGCGTGCACTTAACCGCTAAGCCACGGGGCCGGCCCTAAAACATCTTATATAATAAGTGGAAAAAGAAATTCTATGAGGAATTATTTGATAACTTGGATTCCTATAATTGAGTAATATAAAGTGAAAAATAAAGTTAAAGAATGGCTTTTATGTGACATTAAATTCACACTAACAAAAGCAGAGTTTTAGCTTATATAATAATGATCTCATTTAAATGTAGCTCTTATGGAATCTTATTTAACAAAAATAGAGTGAAAGGAAATAAAACCAACCACTTGAAATGGTATAATTTTAATACAACACAAAGTGTCACTCTAGTGCCACACCTCTACTCATTACTTCTAAAGCATCTTTATTCAAATGGAAATAATATCAGTCTTCTTCTGATTTATAATCCTTCACTACTGTATTAGAAAATAGTTTATGGGAAAATATACCAGGCATATGTTATTTATGACTCAATGACATAAAGAACTAGTAATACTACTGTTGGTTTTAATGCTTGGTTTGACTTCCAAAAAGTAAATGATTATTCAATTTTGTATTGTTTTTTAGCATTATCACCTAGTACTTAAAAATACTTTATATGTTATAAAATCATAACTCTTGGAGCCATGCAGAATCTTAAGAGATCATTTGATCCAACCTCCCTGTCTTTCAAATTATGTGACATCTGAAACCTAGAAATTTTAAAAGTCTTACAGAATGTCACATCTAGCTTGTAGTGAAGGTAAGATTTGAACAATCTAGAGTATTGTCTGCAAAATCAAGGACCTTTTATTTTTGTCTCAGAATTTTTAGATTATGTGTATTACAAAAATTGTGCTATGTAAATAGAGAATTCGTTTAACAGTATTTATTGCACGTCTACTAAATGTTGTGAATACAATGAATGATAAGACATATATGGTCACGTCTCATGAAGCTTACACTTTTGTGGAGTAGACCAATACA